TCTAAGAACCACTCATACTTTTTGCTAAATTTGCTACCTTCATTGGTGAACCCACAACGAGCCCTTCTTCCCCTTTGCCTCCATCACCATCTCCATTTTGTCTCTCTCCACTACAAACTCAATTTCAAATCCAAAAAGTCAGAATCATATAACAACAATGTAATAATCATATAATCATTGTTTCATATGCAACTGGATTTCAATTGATTTCCCATCTTTATGGGCAACAAGACCATTCTCAGAGAAACAATAATCATAGTCATGAGTGGTTGCAAAACAAATACAAAATCGCCGATGTAGAAGAGGAGAAGAGACGATGACGACAGTCGAATCGCCGGAATCGCCATCGGAAGAGGAGAAGAGAGAGAGACGAGGAGATGCAGTCTCGACACGGAGGAGCAAGAGGCAAGAACACGACGACGACAGACCAATCGCCATTGGAATCGCCGTTAATTGCCATGGAGAAGAGGAATCGAGAGAGAGAAGTCGTTTGTGACAAATGAGATCTAATTCTTCCTTTGGGTTAAACGAAAAAAACACGGTCCACTCACATGGTGACACGTGTCCATGTGATACCGTATCATTGATCTCACTCCATTGAGACGTATCACCCGTAAAACTCATTATTAATTTATTTTTTAATAACTTTTGCTTAATGATACTCATAAAGTATCAGCGATAAATATGGTTTTAAATTGTAAATCTATTTGTTGTCAATCTCCTTTTTATGTCTTGGTTGCAATCGTCGAAAGACTCTTACTGCTTCGCTTAATTTCTTTTTTCCATATCCAACGAAACCCATCACTTGTTATTTTCTATTGAGATTTCGTTTTTGTGTTAAGACTTTGATCGAATCCCTTTGTCTATTATGCTTCCTGGATTGTATTGCTTTATTTGAATCTTTTAGAGTTGGGTATTGGGTACAAACATAACCATGAAATTTTTTATTGGGTAATTGTACATAGCTTTCATTTTATTTTTCTGTCATTTGGTTATAATTGTTATCAATTGGAAGATTGATATGCCTGTGTTGTTTTTTTTTTGTACGTTCTTCTTTATCGAAAACAGTTATTTTTTGAATGGTCATGATCTATCAAAAAAAAAAGGTGTCAATTGAAGATAAGAACAATTTCATTAATATTGGGAATATTTTTATCTCAAAATCTTCTTACGAAAAGTACCATAAGTCAAAAAACATTTTGACAGATACCACAAATCATTGTTCCCCTTACCTAGAAAGACAATAATATCATCGAGGTGAGAGAGATGCGTTAGGCGCAGTAGTACGAGGTGATGTTAACATTTTGGGCGGGAAATCTTGGTATGGTGTGAGCATTGAATGCTTGGAATTACGCATTAGAATATAATAAGAGATTAAAAAAAGAGAGATCATAGATAAGTTTGCATTTGTATATCAGAAGGACTCGTCTACTAAACCGGTGTTATTTTGGTATGGTGTGAATATTTAATGCTTGGAATTACGCATTAGAATATAATAAGAGATTAAAAAAAAAAAAGAAGATAGATAAGTTTGTATTTGTATATCGAGAAGGACTCGTCTACTAAATCGATGTTATTTTGGTCCATCGTAAGATTGTGGACAATCTCCGAGTATGTAGTGACGTCCATTGTATCTCCACACTTGTTGTCCACAATGTGGACTAAGCCAGTGTTATTAACGTCCACTGTATCTCCACACTTGTTGTCCACAATTTGTATTTGTGTATCAGAGGACTCATCTACTAAATCGGTGTTATTCTGATCCATGATAAAATTGTGGACAATCTTCGAATCTGCTGTGCGTCCACTGTGTCTCCATCCTTGTTGTCCATAGTGTGGACAGTGTCACCGGATTCAACAATGTCTACCAACTTAGGATCCTCAACCAGCTCATTTACAACAACATCAAGACGTTCAAATTGTGGACATGAACAATTCGTGAGTCGAGTTGCAGAATGAATTGCTTGTAAAAATGGTTTCACAAGGCACGAGACCCAAATAAAGTAATAAAGCAGATTGTTTGATAAAAAAATTTAAACAATAATAAGCAATTTATTGTTTAATAGCAAAACTGACACAACACGTTCGAGTGACTCCACACGTACAAAGGGGCAAAGCGGTAAAGTCAGGTCGGGTTGTGATATTGTACGAAAATAGTTTTGAAATATGGTAGTTTTTGAAAGAAACTTTTTGAAATATGGTAGTTCCGTTAATTTTATTTTTAATGTTTTTATTTTAATATATAAAAGATTTATGAAGTGTAGTGTTCAGAAAATTAAAAACATGGTGCGACCTATTGTAGTCAACTAAATTGAAAACTAGTAGTATAAAGTACTCCTTCCGTTTCAAAATGTAAGTTGTTTTGGCGAAAAGTACAAATATAAAGAAATTACTTTTTTATAAAAAATATCATCTTATATTATATAATAAAAATAATTTAACCAATAAAAATGTGACTGCAAAATACTATTAGTCACATAATAGTATATAAAATTAAAAAGTATCTAAAATTATTAAAATAATTTATATTTTGAAAAATAAAAAAAAACCTTTTAAATAATTTATATTTTGAAACGGATAGAGTAGTAAGTACGGATGCTTAAGAATGGTAGTCCATACAAAACCAACCAAACCCAACATGTAGATTGCGTACACATCTAGAAGTCAAAAGCAATCCATCTAGAAGTCATCTATAACATATCTAGAAGTAAAACAAAAAGTCAATTAAACGCATAGTACACATTTAGAAATCAATCCCACGTGGCAAACAAAAACCCCTCGAAATTTGAAACTCTCTTCAGAACAGACTTCTCATACAAGTAAAAGGAACATGAACTTGTTGCAATATTGTTCATATCTTTCTCGGGATCAGTGTATTTTGTTGTAACTGTCCGACTTTTTCGGATCGTCCCCGATACGTGACAAATCTCGAGTATATATA